GTTAAAATCGAAAATCCAAACATATCTAGACGGATTCAGTCAAAGGTTAGACTTGGAGAGAACTGGAAAAGTTATGTTTATCTGAGCGAAGTTTATTTACAATTGTTTTGATTTTTAAATACAATTTTAAGGGAATTAAGTGAGTGCTTTGGACCTTTAGACGGTCACGAAATATGCCGTTACCTTGTTAACTCTTTAGGAGTCAAATTAAGGTCGCAGTGTAGTTTTGGAGTAATAGAGAGGTGGAAGTGTGCAAAACCTGTAAAATGATAATTCGTCAAACGGTGTAAACTTTTTTGCAACAGGAATGATTAAGAGTAGTTATCAAAAGTCCGGGTCTGGCACAAACTTTTCGTACTGGCACAAACTTGTCGTACTGGCACAGGGCAAAGTTGTCCGCTCTGGCACAGCACACCATCTTTCGATGGGGTTAACTAGCACAGCATACCATCATACGGTGTACCTAAATTAGCTTTTTTTTCAATTTTGGCCGCTCTGGCACATAGTGCCAATACCATCATACGGTGTACCTAAACTAACCCACTCTGGCACATAGTGTCAATACGGGGTACCCGTCTAACCTAACTCTAATACAAAGTTGTCCGTTCTAGCACAACACTCTGGAACAGCTTAAACTTGTCCGTTCTGTATCAGATAAGGAAAAAGTTGTCCGTTCTGGCACAAACCCTATTATATAAGACCCTACCCGTTTTTAACCTAAAATAAAAAATGGATTCGCTTACATAAAAGAATATAATTGGGATCTTAATGATCCTAATCATTATTATCGTTTTATTAATTCGTACTTTTTATCAGCCTACAAGTGAACATGTCATCAAGCTCGCTTAGTTTCACAATTGCTAATATTGTAAGTCTTTGGAAAATAGACGGACAAATCAAATTAGAAATTGATAATTCTAAAAGAAAAAAGAAATTCAATGCCCAAGTAATTCGTAGAAATGGGGTTTTCTTAGTTTTCGCCTCTGGAAAAGTCATAGCTACGGGATTCAAAGAAGTCACGAAAGCAGGTGCAACCCTTCAACAAATATATCCTGACAACGCTATCAACTTTGTTAAAGTTGTAAATATTACAGCACATAGTTTCTTACCGTATACTTTCAATGTTCGTGAAATGATAGATTCCTATGAGGATACTACATACGAGCCTGAGATTTATCCAGCAGTTTATATTAAACTGAATGGATTAACTCTGATCTATTACTCAACTGGGTCCATCATAATTACTGGAGCTAAGGAACTGTCACAGATAGATGGCGCTCTCGATCAATTTTCACGACGGACGAGTCAAATGGGTATATAAAGACGCATCTGAAGCGAAAAAATTCATTTTACTTTTTGACTTCATACGGGTACCCCGTATTGGCACTATGTGCCAGAGTGGGTTAGTTTAGGTACACCGTATGATGGTATTGGCACTATGTGCCAGAGCGGACAAAATTGAAAAAAAAGCTAATTTAGGTACACCGTATGATGGTGTGCTGTGCCAGAGCGGACAACTTTGCCCTGTGCCAGTACGACAAGTTTGTGCCAGTACGAAAAGTTTGTGCCAGACCCGGACTTTTGATAACTACTATTAAGTAACTGTAAGTCTTCTGCTATTTTTGATCGACAATCTGTTTGATTCTCTGGGTCGAAGTGTATAGTAGTTATTGGATAGTTCCTCGTTCAGTTGTGTCAGTTTAATTTTACGTATCGGTCCATTTCTTGATGGATATTCATTAGTGTTGGTTAATTTTCCATTTCGAATGGGCATCAACTTAGACTTGATTAGACAGGTTATCCAAGGTATGTGGGTATTCAAAGCAAATCCAAACCAAAACCCAAAGATACTGCCGATTGAGACAAGGCAGTCAATAAAATTAAATTTTGGTTTAGTAATCATATCGATATAAGGACGCTTGCTGATTGATAAAATGATTGCTGTTAAAGGATGCATACTTCTCACTGCGTCGGGTTCCTTAACATTGTAGTGTCTTTCATAACAATCCATTCCCATAGTTTCCGCTTCACATCGTGTCACTATATCATTACTCAGCTTAGCAAACGTTGCATTTTCAAACTTAAGATCTTGATCAAAGCCGACAAAAGGCGCATCAATATCAGCTCTATGTAAGGACTGATAAAACAGTCTATTAAACCACTTTTGAGACAGTTTGTTCAGACATTCGTCTAGCTTTTCATATCGATTTTCGTATCCTTCGTTAGTGTAGTTTACACAGTTCGAGTATGGTGCCGGTAGCAGTGTAAGGGTTATGAGTTGAAATGAAGTTGCATAAACGGAATTTCCATCGCGTAATGGTAACCTAGTCCACTGAACCCTTCGATTACTTGGCGAAGAGTTCGGTTCGATGAAAGCAATTCGTATTCCTTGTTGTGTCATCGCAATTCTTTGAGTCAATACCAATGCAAAAAAGTCTGCAACTCCAGGGTTTAAATCTTTAAGAATGAAACTTCCAATAATTGGACCTTTAGTGGAACAAGCAATCACGATGTAAAAAAATGAAGATTGGAAATACTCTTTAAATTGGCATCGATCTACGTAATCAGAATTGAATGATCCGTCCTTCATGGTCTCTATTGATCGCACGTAAATGGTTTTGATGAAGTCTTTTGATTTGTACAGTAAACTGGTGGTCTCTTTGATGGTCAACTCCTTTTCAATCAACTGGCTTATGCTCTTCGTAAAAGTCACATTTCTCAGGGAAAAGCGCAGCTCACGAGTAGTGTTGTATTTGAAAAATGCCAATGCTCCAACAGGTGGAAATCGCTGGAAAAACAGAGTATAGTTAATGAAACTCAAAACTTCAACTCGAATGACAATATCGGGTAATATCGTTTCATCTGGAATCTCAACGGTTGTAATGGTCGTGATTTCTCGCCCAAAATAACGTTTAAAAACGTATTCTATCTGAATAAAACATCCAATTGAACAAATAATTTGGACCAAAGTATAAATCGTCAACAATTTTTCGAACTTGGTTAAAAAATTCATTTTCATGGAAATATTGAGAACTTGCTAGATCAATCTGGTTACACTCACAATTTTCCAATACTTAATGAATATTAATTATTTTCTGCTCAACTTCTGATTTCAATGTAACCATGCAACTTTCGGTTCTATTCATTTTTTGATTGATTAACTGAAAGAATGTTATGAAACATTATGTTGAACTTTCTAAATTAGTTATTGATCGCTCATAATTCCATCGTATTA